TAAAACCAAGAGTCCTGGAAAACATGTTCTGTCATATATTCAAAAATAATCCAACATTCAGGACTCTGTTGCACTTGTGTTGAACGGTAATATTCTAATTTTTTTTAAACAAATACAACTTCATAGGTATATCACTTATCCATACACAGCACAAAATTTTACATTTTTAAGCTTACTTCGGAAGCTGATATATCTTCTTTAACTCTTCACTAATATGTTTTATTGAAAAATCGGTTGATACAAAAGTGAGTACTATAAACCTAATGCTTAGCATTCTCTAAACCGTATCTTTTGTGATAAAGTGGATGAAACACTGTTTAAACACCAAACCTAAAGGACTTTTTTAAAGGTAAACATGTAAAACATCTGACTTGTAAATAGCGTTCTTTTGATAAGCTGTAACTTCTCCTATATAAGTAAGGATTGAAGATACTTCACACCAAACTCATTACTATTGCTTTGAACTTTTGTATGCCTTACTAACTATTTATACTTTATAGTTAGTAAATATAAGAGTACACTCTATTGTTTTGGGTTTTCTACCTCCGTGTAGCTTGTATAAATGTATATATTTAGTATAATTTTATTTGTGTTTACTTTAAGAATTTATTGGTCAGGTATACTATAATCAGCTTAATATAATTTCCTATATAAAAATCATATTTTTTGTTTTTCAATCCTCTCATATTAATGCAATTAATGTGTTTTCCATTAGCGCATTAAGAATTTGAAGTGAATTTCCGTACTTGAAAATAAAAACAGTGCCGTTCATTGTGTTTTCTGTCTGAATCATTTTTGTTGTTTTTTCTTATGATGTAGTTCACCTTGTTGGATAAGTTTTTGCTTGTAAAATGCAATCATTCAAATGATTTTAAAAATTTAAATTATTTCAATATTTTACACATTGATTGATCTTAAATATATTAATCGCACACATGTTGTTCTCCTTTAATTTTAGATGGCAGTCCTATGTTGCGCCAGGGTGATACTGGTGATTGGGTGGGCACTTTTGAAGGACATAAAGGTGCGGTTTGGGGTGTAGCACTTAACAAGAATGCAACTTTAGCTGCAACTGGAGCTGCGGATTTTACTGGAAAAGTATGGAACGCAGTTACCGGTGCTGAAATACATAGCTTTCAGCATAAACATATAGTGAAAACAGTAGCATTCGATAAATGTTCTGAAAATATTGTTACTGGTAGCAGTGAAAAGTTTGTAAGAGTGTTCAATCTAGAACAACCGAATATGGAACCGGAAATCTACGCTGGTCATAGTGGAACCATAAAACGGGCACTCTTTTGTCGTGATGATAAATGTATAGTTTCGGCAGCAGAAGATAAAACTGTACGACTTTGGGATCGCTTAACGGGCAACGAAATACAAAGATTACAATTTACACATAATCCTAATAGTTTAGAAATTTCAGCTGACAATCATATTTTGACAATAACTCACGGAGGTAGTATTAGTTTTTGGGAAGTAGATACATTAAAGAAATTGAAGGAAATAAAAGTACCGACGAATGTTTCGTCTGCTAGTTTACATCCGGATAAACATGTTTTTGTTTGTGGAGGCGAAGATTTTAAGATGTATAAATTTGATTATATTACTGGGAATGAAATTGGTAAGTTTTAAAATTTTTCAATAACAATATAAAACCTTAAAAGCATTTTTCCTCTCGTTTAGAATCTTTTAAAGGTCATTTTGGACCAGTCCACTCAGTTAAATTTAGTCCTGATGGCGAACTTTATGCGAGCGGATCAGAAGATGGTACGCTGAGATTATGGCAAACTACTGTAGGAAAAACATATGGACTTTGGAAATGCACTGAACCTGGAGAGTTAAATAATTCCTTGAATTCCCCACGTGAAGTTCATGCTAACTGAAATAGAAAGGATAGCAAACTGTCATGAAAAAAGAAAAACGACAATTAAATTGCATTAAGTTAAGAAGAGTAGCATAATAATTTTATAAGCAAATCTTGAACACAAAATTATTTTATATTTTTTAAACTCTCATCATCAAACTTAATTTTAAAAAATTATTTTATTTTATACAAAAACAAAAAAATCTTAACAATAATTTTTAAAAAATTCTCGAATCATATATATTTGAAAATTTATTATAACACTAAAGTCTTTCCACAAAATTTGTATTCCTGTTTTGTATCTTGTCCTTTCACTATATATTGTATTTAATTCTAACTTAAAATTCATGAATCAATGATGAATATATATTTTTGTAAAAAATAAATAATAAAAAAATATAAAGTAGTACACCAGAAACCAATTATTTCTTGCCAGCATTTAAAAGTTGTGCAAAATCAAAAATAAATATTTTATGGTTATCTCTCAAAATTATACATAATCGATCTCTTCAGATTTGCGTACATAAATAAAGAATATTTAAATGCCATCAAAAAGTCTATGAATTGGATCATCTACATTGAATTTGTATTACACATAATAAAGCATATTTAATAAAATTAATATTGAATATATCTTATAAAGAAATATTTATTATTACTAATTTAAGTTTCGAGTGCTATTTATATCTTTTAAAATAGATTACGCTTAAACTTATTTCACTAAACAAAAAAAAAATACAATTTTGATTAAGATAAACTTCTCCGAAAAATATTAACCTGATTGAAATATTACTTATAGTTCCACATATAACAGTTCTAAAATCACGAAGTTGGATTGACCAATCGTTATGTTTTGTAGTCGTTTGGATAACAAAAAAATATATTAATTGCAAAATATTTTACTTTATAATACAGTTAAAATAAAATTACATACTAAAGCATACTAAATATAGCAAAGACTATATAGCTTAACTTGGGTTAATGTGGCTGACCACCAGCTAAATATAAACTTACTGGTCTTTTGTCAAACCAAAAGAATCAAGCCCTGCACGATGTTTTGTAGTAGACATCATAAAGAAGTCCAACGCATTACAGCTCCATTCCTGTAGCATCCTTCAGCCTTTGGAGCCCTGTAGCTTTGAGTATGTTCATGACAATGCAAGACATAAATATATGAGATGTGCCAAAGTCCGCTTTATTTTCAGCTCTCTACACTTTTTGCATTCATCATTATTGGTAGTCATTTATGCGTGTACCGCTAGTAGACAATAGCTCGTATGTCTATAATAGTTATGCCATCTCAATTTCAATATTATCCGTTTCACCTAATCTAGTAGTCTATTTACTACTAACCTTTCTTGCCTTCCTAATTTTCTCAACATTTTTTGAACATAATGTGATGAAGTTTTTGCTTTCATCGCTGCATAACTATATACATAAAAGTTTAATTTGGAGTTGCATTCCATTTTAATGTAGGCTAGCTCTACAACCATATATTTGCAGTTATTCTTTCTATAGCTTTTCTAGTTTTAAGAACATTTTTGGATGTAATAAATTGTTAGGTTATTGAATTTTTCTTGTGGAATGTTAAACAACTGGGTCTCACCTTTGACTTGGTAAAAACAGTGCTTAAAGCGACATGTCGTTCTTCAATCCCAATTGTTGAAGACCAGTTGCCGTCTTCAACCTCAAATCCTCCTCTGGCTCTACACAGACGTTATTGAATCTATACTTCTACATCAAGCTATCCTTTTGGAGAAAGCTAGTGTAAATACTAGTTACGTAGCGCTACTTGACAAAGTAAGAATGATGGCAGCATCGTATAAGTAACTGAAGCTCTATTCTTCACTTTCACGAAAACTCTAATCACGATATTTCCTTGTGTCCCATCAAATAGACTTAATCACTAGTCCAGAACTGAAATAAGACAAGAAAGTATACTAAATCAGGATTTATTATCCCTTAGTTCTAACAATTGTACGTCTTGTTACCTATACATTGTTCAAGAGTCCGGTTCCCTTATACCAGGAAGAGATCTAGATAGAAGAGACCTTAACATTTTCACGATTTCAAACTAAACGACAGAGTTGGCAATGGAATTTATATATGAAATATATGAACAGCCAAGGTGCTATTAAATTTGTGATAGACATTAGAGCTATTTACTTTAAAGTTCGACATTGATGGACTTCTAGTTGTCTAGGTTCTGCAATGTCCAACTCAAATGGGTACCTGTACATAAATACACTTCAAGCAAATAGAAAGTAAAGAAAAGTGCCAAAGCACGCGATCTGCTTCAACTAAAGTGGAATAAAGTCGGTACTATAGTATGCGTGTTGATTAAATAGTGCGTATTAGGAAAGTAAGTAATAAAACTTGGTCAGTTATAGATGGGACCAAAGATTTAGAAACTTCTTTAAGACAATGATGGCTACTGAAATATGAGGTGGAGTACAATTTCATTTTATAATTCACCTTATGTGTCACTGTCAATCATCGACTAGAAGAAGATTCAAAATATTTGAGACCCCTTCTCTAAGAGATCTAAGAGAACAGCGCTGTCAACTTTATAATTAAGAACATAGCCAAGTTTTTTGACTTGCCAGGTTAGTCCCCTTTTATTTGAATGGAACAGCGCACGCTGCCTGTCCACCAGATGTTTGGGACCTCAACCTTTAGGGTGGTTCTTCAGGTGTCATAATGAGACATTACTTGTGTTTAAATGAACTTTGGTGCACAAAGCAGCTTACATTTTTATATAAAACGCCTATGAAATTTTGTTTATAAGTAACAACACTGAACACTTTGTTGTTAAGAACTAGACAAATGTCTGCTTACTTTAATTTGTACTTTCCCGCCAATATTGATATTGAATTTTATAGAAACAGAAACTGAATAATCAAGTTCGATAAAATATTTAGACACGCTTCTTTATTTTTAAATTTTTGTTACATATTGCTTTCTGATATCGTATCTTTAAGTCAATCAGACCCCCGAATTTTAATAAATTGCCTTTTATCAGTTAAATATTAAATATAGTTTTTAATTATTTTTATTGTATTTTATTTTATTATCTAGTGATTTACTAAAATAGTTAAGAATATGACCGAAAGTCTGATATAAAAGCAAAATAGTCCAACGATGCAAGACAGTTACTCTCCACGAGTAAAATTGAAATGAAGTGTATTATTTTGGCAACGAGCCTTGCGCTCATATTAGCAGCGGGCAGTGTTACCGCTGGTGACAGACCCATTTCGGATTGTGTAAGAATTATAAATAAATATATAAGAAAATTATAAATATTTTTCTTAAAATAAATTTTATTTATTTATTTCATAGGGTGAACGTATTCTGGATGATGGATATCCCATGGAAAGACATACCGTCACCACTGAAGATGGTTACATATTAACTATGCATCGCATTCCGTACTCTCCAAAAACCGGTGACGATGGTAATCGACCAGTTGCTTTCCTTATGCACGGTATGTTGAGTTCCTCATCTGATTGGGTTTTAATGGGACCCAATAAGGCTTTGGCTTATATCTTATCCGATGCTGGTTATGATGTTTGGATGGGCAATGCTCGTGGTAACACCTATTCAAAGAAGCATAAGTACTGGCCCACATATTGGCAACTTTTCTGGAATTTCAGTTGGCATGAAATTGGTAAATGTGTTTGTAATTATTTATATATATTTGCAATTAAAAATTTCTTTATTAGGTATCTATGATGTGCCTAATATGATTGATTATGTACTTGAAGAAACTGGTGAATCGCAAGTACAATATGTTGGACACTCTCAGGGTACTACAGTGTATTTAGTTATGATGTCTGAGCGTCCAAAATATAATGATAAAATCAAATCGGCACATTTGTTGGGTCCAGCAGCTTACATGGGTAACATGAAGAGTCCTCTAACTAGAGCATTTGCACCAATTTTAGGACAACCCAATGCCATTGTTGAACTCTGTGGTTCTATGGAATTTATGCCAAGCAATCAATTCAAACAGGATTTGGGTATTGAAATGTGCCAAGCAACCTCACCATTCATTGAATTGTGTGCTAATGAAATCTTCTTAATTGGTGGTTACGACACAGAACAACTGGATCCTGTAAGATCATAACATATACTTTAAAAATTATTTTGCTCGATATGAGAATAATGGTATTTCTTTAATAGGAATTAATTGAACACATTAAGGCTACATCTCCAGCTGGAGCTTCTGTGAACCAAAACATACATTTCTGTCAAGAATACAACTCTAAACGTTTCCGTAAATTTGATTACAGCATTGTACGTAACCCATACGAATATGGCACTATGTATCCACCAAATTACAAGCTTAAAAACGCTAAAGCTCCAGTACTGTTGTACTATGGTGCTAACGATTGGATGTGTGATGTTTCTGATGTTCGACAATTGCGTGATGAATTACCAAATATGCAATTGGACTATTTGGTGCCATTCGCTAAATGGGCACATCTGGATTTCATTTGGGGTACCGAAGCTAAGAAATATGTTTATGACAAAGTATTGGAGGAAATGGAACAATATGAATAGATTATTTGATTTATATAATAAATATTGAAAAAGTAATCCATAATATTTTATTTTATAATTTGACCATTTTTTGCATATCTATTGTAGTATCATTTACGATTGATACGATATTGAATTGCAAAATGAAAGGGAAATGATTGACATGCTTTCATAATATAGTTAATCGATTATTGTAAAATGTTCAGCAATTTAATTTATTAGTGCAAATCGAAGTACAAATGTTTGTATATATAAAGAAATTAGAAAGGTGGAAATGTTTCTGTAACGCTAATATTATTCTCGTGATATTATATCGAATAAGTTGACCTTCTCTACCTCACTTAGAGTAGGTGAATGACACTTTGTCGTCTGTTAAGAAGAGTAGTTCTAAGACATGTACGATACCCGCTCTTTCAACCTCTGATAGAGAATATGTAGTATTAAGAATATTAAGACTACAATAAGTCATAAATGTTCCAGTCTACTAAAAATGTTGTTGCTTATTTACAAAAATTAATTATTTCTGTTATTATAACCCTTTGCGGGACCTAATTTCAGGAACTAAGACTCTGTAAGTAGAAATGAAGTTTCAGTTAGTGTACCATATATAATGGGCTGCGGTTATTGCATTACATGATCACTGTACAATCTATTGTAAACGTAAATTCTACAGGCACAACCTAGATAGAAGTGACAAAACAAGTGGCAGTGCCTTAATGCCATTGGTCAGTGGACTCAACTAGAAATGGAAAAGCTGCAAGAAAGAAAAGAAAAAAGAACTAAATAGTTACTTTGCAAATACACAGGCCTGGCAAGATTGAGACATTTCGCTATGGAAGTTTACGAACTCAAGTGAGTGGCGACCACCCACTCACAGCTTCAAGCGTAGCTCTTCAAAATAAATGTTCTTTATCAATTGCGGAGTTTGATAAGAGAAAGGTTTACCACCCAATTAAATATATGCCATGCTTAACATACCGGTAAGGATAAAAGGTGAGAATTAGTTTAGATTAAAATAACCTGAAAACTATGAAAGACGATGTAGTAAGAATATTACGAAAATTAGCAGGATTGAAATAATCTGATTAGTATAAAAATGGTTATGGTGAGAAGAGTGAGTTATGCGGATATTTCTATTTTAGTGAAACACTTTTTAATCATAACCGCGTTTTTATGTATGTATGCATGAACTACATACATATGCATATGTTCATAATTTTTAAATTCTTAAATAATTACATATAAATATTATTAGTTTTTTATTATAGAAATAATTTATTTTGCAAAATACTACAGTAACAGTAAAGTGTAAACGATAAGAAATAAAAATATATATCTTATATCAAATAAATATATTTACAAATGAAATGGAATAATATATATAAGTATATATAAGATAATAAGAATATATTTACGTTTCAACCGGTAAATATTATACTACAAAAGTATTATCTGTATCAAAAAAAAAACATTTTAATTAAGTTTATGAATTCATTTCATGCCTATCGACTTTAATCTTCAAGCAAAGCAGGTGGTCAAACCGTGGTAGACGGTTCTCTCAGTGCGCCCCAAGTACTTTCTTTTAGTTTGATAAAATTTCAATTTAAAATTGTTATAGATAATAATATAAACAAAAATCTATATTTAGATATTTTATAGTTTTTCTAGAAACTACTTATAGCAAAAAACAAAAATAATTTTTAATTTGTCTGTGCAATTTGAACAATAACATATTGAGATTTTAATCACTGAAGTTTAGTGTTTTTTTATTTTATATTTCTACACAAAAGTGTTGATATTTATGATATAAGTTTTTTGTTAATCAAGTAGAACCCTTCACAAATATATTTTTATATACCCGATAAATTTGAACTTTAAAAAGTAATATTGAATAATTACTCCAATTTTTTAAATAGATATTTATATTTGTTTACTTTTCCTTAACTTCTGCATGCAACTCATGGTTCTCATTATTATCACCTTTGTGTATTATACACTTAATATCATAAAGTCCTGGTTTCATGAATTTCATAATTTTAGACTCTTTGAGTGGATAATTGTTAAGCTGATATTTCTGTTTTGGTAACGGACACGTCTCTGGCGTAGGTGCATTAGAATAATTTTTTAAGGAATCATAGAAAAAATTCTTGTAATGACTTTTTAAAAAATCACATATCCCTTTAGCTGATAATTTATAAATTAATTTCGTATCCTTAAATGCTTGACATTCAATCTGTAATGCAACAAATTGAAATTATAATATATAATTTGTTTGCAGTTATATTTATATAAACTTACCGTATCATCATTGGTTAATTCGACTAATAGGTTCACCGAGGCGCTAATTTTGTCTACTCCTTTTTGAAAATCAAGTTTAAATAAATTACTTTTTTTTGCATCTCCTTTGTACTCTAACGAAATTTCATAATTCTTCACATCTTCAGTAGAACATTTATTAAACAATAAAAGTCCACAGAAAAGGATGATTGAAATATAGCCTCTGAAGAAAACACTCATTTTTCCGAAATGAACAGTTAAAACAACGATAGTCTTATGATCCGAATGGAATAATTCAAACCTTTTTAAATAATTAATTTGCATGTCAAAATTGTTGACAGATTTAATTAATTATATAATTAATAAACGGAAATTGTTGACAACTTATTTGATTTTAAAGTTAAAAATTTTAATTGTTTATTCATAAACAAAGGCAATTAAATAATAATGACACAATTAAATAAATAATGACACTATCAAATTAATAATGACACAATTAATTAATAAATAAAATAGATAAAGCACGTAATTAAAGTATTTAATATCATAATGGGGTATTTAGATGTGAGTTCCTGTGGCCCAGCCATGCAAATAAATTGTAGTAAAATTGAGCAGGTTTTCTCCTTGACGTATCTCTGGGCGTTGCTGCAGATGATCAAACCAACGAGAAAGATTTAAGTAGTTTTCCTTATCAATAGGCGAAAGAGATTTCTGAAAGAGAAAGATTATATTATTATTTATAATATATATTAATTATTTAATAAAGTAATTAATATAAAAACTTAATTACTTTTTCTGAACCCAAAAACCATATAAATATTTTTTAATATAGTATAATTATTAACATTGTTATTTATGCAGAGATCTGCTTGCAATGTTTTTCTCTCTTTACTCTGTTATTTATCAACTATATTACCAACATATCCCAATTCTTGTACATATATTATTTGTTAATATCACTCTATAAAGCATAAATTTCAGTTAAGTTTAGAAACACAAAAAAACAAAAGACAATAAATTAACAAAATTGCAACGATGAAATCTTATGCATAACTCACTTAGATGACTTGTGTGACAGGCCATTGAAAATTACCTCAAAAGGGTTTAATACCGTAAGATGTCCCACGGAGGGCATTTGAATTTTATATATCGCATTTGATGGCAAGATCATAAAACGTATAACTATGTACGAATAATGCGAAGTTAGGCTAATTTAAGTGCCCGTAACCCAAATATGCGATTAAATTTAAATATAAAAATTGTTAATATATACACCTTAAATTTTTATAAAAACTGTAGGATCTCTTCGTAAGAGCAACGGAATAATTTTACTACCCTAAATTGTATACTTTAAGTTACTTGCATGATTGTGGCTAACAATTATTATGTCTTAAAAATATAAAATTTTACGCAGAATTTTATTTTTTCCAACTTACCACTAAGTCATATATTGCATAAAAAACAGCCAAATCTGCAAGAGTTATGAAGTGTCCTACTAAATATGACTTGCATAGGAACAATTTATTAAAATCTCTTAATAATCCTTGTGCTACATGCTTGTCTTTAGATCCTGGTGCTACATACAAAACAGCAAACTCAATCCATTGATACACTTGGGCTTCGATTTCACGTGTTGCACAACTGTTTTGTGCAGTTTCTGATTTTGATTCCTTTGCCAATGCGTTAAGAATAGTGGCAAAACCAGTAACTTTTTTGTTATCAATATCTGTACGTGTAACAACCTTTAAATTTACATTAATGATTAACTTTAAAATAAATTTAATTGTAACAACTAACCTTTTCTTCGTTGAGTGTCACCTTACCAGCAGGCACACCAAGACAATTGGCTATTTTAGTAATT